GACAGGGGATCGGGAGCCATTCCTAGGCTCGACAGGGGATCGGGAGCCATTCCGAGGCTCGACAGGGGATCGGGAGCAATTCCTAGGCTCGACAGGGGATCGGGAGCCATTCCGAGGCTCGACAAGGGATCGGGAGCCCTTCCTGGGCTAAACTGAGGATTCCGAGGTCTCTCCTCCTCGTTTTGACACTGAATTCCCTCCATATTCTGGTCCTTATGTCCCGCCATTGTCAGCTCACCCTCAGCCATGATGCAGCGGGCGGAGCTCCTCACCGCACTCACACCGTCCACGGCTTGCTCCCTCGTGGTGGGCACTGTCACCGGCTCTCGCACCTGGTCTGACGTGTTGGGCTCAATATTCGAGGCTATCCTCTTCTCAGCCACGGGGCTTCGCTCCGGCTCGTGGATCACGGCGGGAAATGGCTCTCCGTCATCGGTGGGCTCAGGCTTATGCTCCGTACCGCGGGGAGATGGTGGGCTGGGCTCAGGGTCCTGAGTGGGCGGCGAGGCTCTCTCGAGGACCATCCCCGGACAAATGCGCTCGTGTGGTGGCGTTAAGTCCAACTTGATAGAATGAAAAGAGGCAGTTGTCCGGGTAGTGCGTGAGGTGAGCCAGGGACAGAAAGTCGTTCGTGTGGTCCTCAAGAGAGCGTTCCCCCTGCTCCAGCAGGAGAATTTGGAAGGCGGGGTAATCCATAACATAAAAATAAAAACTGACAAAAACCGGAAAAACAAACGAGGGGAAAGACGCCGCTATACTTTACTTAGTGGTCAGTTATTCTGTCACGGTCTGTGGAGGCAGGCAGGACGACGAGGACGACAAGGATTCCAATAATGACTTTTAATGTAGACACAACAAGGCAGATTCAGGTAGGTGACACACACACACACAGTAACATTCACAATAACCGACAAACTCGAATACAAGAGACAGGAACAGATATAGGGCAGATAACGAGGGGCAGACAGGTGAGCACAATGAGGTGATTAACTAATAACGAGAACAGGAACAACCAAGTAAGGACACAGAGGTAGAAACCACAATCAACAGTCCACAGGGGTGTGACAGGTACGATGAAGGACGAAAAAGTAAAAAACAACTACCAGATATACTGCAAGCTAAACTAAGCTAAACTCTGCAGGACAGTGTGGTACTCCAGAAGCAGAACTGGACACCCCTGCCATAGACACTTAGACACTAATCTTACAGTTCAATCAAATAGTTAAACCTGATGGCCCTTTAACCCACAGTATAGAGCATACAGGTGATTGCTTTGTTTTATATTACGTAATGAATCAACATAAATTATATTCTGTTTTAGACAAGAGACATTGCTATGTTTCAGCTCCTACGTTTGCTATCAGATCATTTAAAGGGACAGTTCACCCACAAATGAAAATTCTGTCAATAATTACTCACCCTCATGTCGTTCTAAACCCGTAAGACCATAAAATTACTGTTGAACCCCTCATGTCACATGGATTATTTTACCGATCTCCTTGCTACGTTTCTGGACCTTGATCATGGTAATTACATTGCTGTCTATGGGAGAGTCAGAGAGCTCTCAGATTTCATCAAAAATATCTTAATTTGTGTTCCGAAGATGAACGGAGGTCTTACGGGTTTAGAACGACATGAGGGTGAGTAATTAATGACAGAATTTTCATTTTTGGGTGAACTAACCCTTTAAGCCACTAAACAACGGGGAAAGTTTTCAGTCTAAACAGTCAGTGCAAAACACGTAACTCACGTCCAGTTTTCAGTGAATTAATCATTTGTGTGCATTTGTGTGTATATAAGTGTGTATTCACAAACTCTTTCATATTCTGTTATTGTTTCTGGCATCACATTGCATTTCATGATTGCATTGCAAGAATTACAGACTGAAGGGCAGGTCAAAACATCCAACTGCTGCTAGACTGCTCAATTTTCATTTTTGGGTGAACTAACCCTTTAAGCCACTAAACAAGGGGGAAAGTTTTCAGTCTAAACAGTCAGTGCAAAACACGTAACTCACGTCCAGTTTTCAGTGAATTAATAATTTGTGTGCATTTGTGTGTATATAAGTGTGTATTCACAAACTCTTTCATATTCTGTTATTGTTTCTGGCATCACATTGCATTTCATGATTGCATTGCAAGAATTACAGACTGAAGGGCAGGTCAAAACATCCAACTGCTGCTAGACTGCTCTCATCAGAGTTATAAATGACCTGCTCTTATCATCTGATTGTGGTTGTATCTCTCTATTAGTGCCACTGGATCTTAGCACTGCATTTGATACTATCGACCACAACATTCTTTTGTATTGTGCCATTCAAACAAAATTTACTTGATATGACAATAAAATGATTATTTCAATATTAGATAAACTGTTAGCCCATAGTTTACCTTCACTAACACATAATCTCCAGGTGTAATGGGGACCATCTGAGGTTTCTCTGGCTGAACAGGCAAATCTGTTTTAGGAAAAATCACTTTCACATTTATCTCATTTCGACCACAAAGTTCCTCAGAAGATCTTTTACTCTCCTGTAAAATATCAAGAAAGAAAAACTAAATTCTGTAAGAGCTAATCACGCTAATCACATACCTGTACATATGTACTGGATATCTGTTTAGCGTTTTTCTTGAGCATCTTCTAGGGTTTAAGCAACCCTTACAAACGGTGGAGAAAATTAGGTAAAACATCCTGAAGTAGGCTGTTATACTCACTCCCTCTACCAACACCAGCTGTGTGCTGCCAATAAGAGCCATGTTGACTTTAGCAGCCTCTTCTCTAAAAACCGAGATGAGTTCCTCCAGACGGCGCTGTTTCACTGGTGCAGGAACATCATCTTGCAGCCGATGATATGCATGGGTTTTCTAAAGAGAGATAAGCACTGAAAAAAGCCATAGTCAGAATACTTTTTCCTATCCCAGATTTAAATCCTTCTATAGAGTTTGCTTCAGCTTTCAATTTTGTATATTAGGTACCATTCTTTTGAACTAGCAGATTTAGTTGTTTATTAGGGAAAAAACATATCCAATAAAACCCCAATAAAAGTGACTGATATTATCATGCTGGTTTCACTCTACATCAGCACTCACAGAAAAACAGTATATTGCTGATGAAATGATTTGGAGCTTCAACTATATTCACTTTAGACATTTCTACCACTTGTACTCATTTCCATTAGTTTTTATTTGATGTAATTCAAATTTTGTACCATGGGAACCCTGCTTAAAAAATTACAAACAGAATTACAAGAGATAGATTAATCTGGCAGGAAGAGCAACAATTAGATCAGACCTTCCTCATGCTGTAGGCGAAGATAAAGCCCACGTTATAGCCCACCTCCCTGACAAGGGAAAGTGTCTGCTGAAGGTCTTCTTCAGTCTCTCAACAGAATCCTGTGATGAAATCACTGCTCAGACGGACTCCTGAAACAGGATTTATCAGGGACAGAGAGAAACATCATAAACCACTGCACTTCATTTACTTCATTACTGCACTTCATCACATCATATCATGAGAAAACATGAAAACAACTTTGTCAGCCATTAGTTTTGAAACTGTTCTTTGGAACATGCATCGTGTCTCATTCAATTTATTAAGAAGAAAATTATTTCTCACTAACGCTAAAACCACTTGACCTCAAACCATAACTCAATACTTTATTTAGATAGATATATTAATTTATCTATATAAATATAAATATGTTAAACTAGATAAAAACAGTATATACGTGTATCTTGTATGTACTTCTATTAATAGCATATACTATTATGTCCTGACAGATGGTTCATTTAAAAAAATATACCTCTCTGGTCCCACTTTATATTAAGTGTCTTTAACTACTATGCTTTTACATTATAAAATTTGATAATGTAGTTCATTGTGTACATACAGTACATGCTGTTCTGCAAAAATATTGCTGAGGTTTGGATGCAGGTATGGTTGGGGTATATTTTTGCCCCCATTCCACTGCCTACATCTAGTGTTTTTCAATGTAAAAATGCATTCTGTGTTGAATAAGTATTAACATTGATGTACTATCTATTGCAATACAATCTAGTCAGACCAAAAAAATGCTCTCCCACATATTTTGCAATTCTAACTGTTTTTCTGTCATTGGTATAAGAAGCAGTGGGTGCAAATAGAAGAGAATATATACAGGTGCATCTCAATAAATTAGAATGTCATGGAAAAGTTCATTTATTTCAGTAATTTAACTCAAATTGTGAAACTCGTGTATTAAATAAATTCAGTGCACACAGACTGAAGTAGTTCAAGTCTTTGGTTCTTTTAATTGTGATGATTTTGGCTCACATTTAACAAAAACCCACCAATTCACTATCTCAACAAATTAGAATATGGTGACATGCCAATCAGCTAATCAACTCAAAACACCTGCAAAGGTTTCCTGAGCCTTCAAAATGGTCTCTCAGTTTGGTTCACTAGGCTACACAATCATGCAACACCAACCCAATATGTGACATTTCCATTGCTGTATATGAGTTTTATTTCATTTATTCAAATGTCTGATGTGGGGATGCAGTAAATACACATACAAGGAACTTTGAATTATTTTTTTTTAAATTCTGACTGACACAAAATGATTGTTTCACTGGAAAGATCTAGCAGAATAAAAATGACTACAACTGACTAGATATGAAATGCTGTTTTTAATAAATACTATAGTGCTATAAAAGCCATATAGTTATTTTTTACCTCTGTAGTGATGAACCATGCACGTGGTGGTTACCATGATCTATAAATGTATGATTCTATGGAATAACACTGGTATTTTATTAAGAGCTGTAGATTCAGATAATCCAGTTAATTTTTGTATTTTCTGTATAAAAATTTACACTTTACATTTTATACTTACTACTTTTCACTGTTTCATGATTTCGGTTGTTAATTTAAATCAGCATGCCAACTTAAACTCAGTGTTTTGCTCTACATTTCAATGAGACAAATATGCAGTATTATTTAGCAACTGCACTTTTTGTGAAATACAATAGCAATATTTTGATATTATACAAATGGTGGCTCAACTCAACTGAGACTGCCCTGCTCTCGGTTACTGAAGCCCTGAGACTGGCAAGAGCAGCTTCCAAATCCTCAGTACTCATCTTGTTGGATCTGTCAGCTGCTTTTAACACCGTTAACCACCAGATCCTCCTGTCCACCCTCATAAAGATGGGCATCTCAGGAACAGCACTCCAATGGTTCGAGTCTTACCTCTCAGGTAGGTCTTTCAGGGTGTCTTGGAGGGGTGAGGTTTCTAAGTCACAACTTCTTGCTACTGGGGTTCCTCAAGGCTCAGTGCTTGGGCCTCTTCTCTTCTCCATCTACAAACCCGATTCCAAAAAAGTTGGGACACTGTACAAATTGTGAATAAAAACAGAATGCAATGATGTGGAAGTTTCAAATTTCAATATTTTATTCAGAATACAACATAGATGACATATCAAATGTGTAAACTGAGAAAATGTATCATTTTAAGAGAAAATAAGTTGATTTTAAATTTCATGGCATCAACACATCTCAAAAAAGTTGGGACAAGGCCATGCTTACCACTGTGTGGCATCCCCTCTTCTTTTTATAACAGTCTGCAAACGTCTGGGGACTGAGGAGACAAGTTGCGCATTGCAGCCTGTCTGAGAGACATTTTAGCTGGATGAAGGACCATCACCTTCAACTCAACCTTGCTAAGACAGAACTGCTTGTTGTCTCAGCCAACCCAGCACTTCATCACAACTACTCTATACAGCAGGGTTCGTCAAACATAACTCCTTATATAAATATAACAAATAGTTTATTAAGGTGATAGATATAGCCCAAAACAACGAATAAATTATGAATTTTTATTGCTGTAGTCTAATGATTATTTAGTTATTACTGTTGTAACAAATCAAAAATGAGACAGTAACTAAAAATGTTTTGCATAGTTTATCAGACATTAGTAAAATATCCGTCGATCTCCAAAAAAAAAGGCCCTGACCTTTCTGTGAACGTGCTGTTGTGCATTGAGGAATGTGGTACTCCTCATATTCATCATTGCAAGCATCATAGGTCCTGTATGGAAGCCCATTTCCGCCAGGTAAGAAAAAAAAAATCATGCTGTAAAAAGTCGAAATTATGACTTGCTGGCTCATTGATCTACACGACACGACACACGATTATGGAACATGGTGGTTTAAAGCAACAATAACTTCCATGAATTATGAGAACTTAAAAATATAGCTGATTAACACGAGAAAAGCTTTATTTAATCTGCACTGATCGGTAGAATATGATTTAGAGTAATTATATCGGTCATATGTGTCTCCTTGAAGGCGTCGAGACAAACATTTCCTAAAGGTAAATCTACAGTCTGAAACTGCTGCTTATGTTCATGTCTCAGCTAAAAACAAACAAACGCATCACTGAACCATGACAGTAATCATAAACGATTTACCCCAATTAACTACTCAAACAAATCTAGGGAAATGAAGAAAAGGAGCAGCGGAGTACGTGTAAATATACTGTGATATATTTCTAAATAAAAGCCAAACGTTTACCATGGTTTCAGCTATCTATCTATCTATTTGTCTAATTTATTTATTTATTTTTTATTATAGTTGTGTGCTGATAACAATGTATTTAAAATAAGTGGGCTTATTCAGTTTTTAATAAATAAATAAATACAGTAGTATGGAATTTCTCAACTGTTCATGCAAATGGATTAAAACTAATTTTTAAATGTAATTATTAAATTGAAAAACACCAGAAAAACAGTGTTTGTACTGTAAATACATCTAAATGCCACTTCAGATGCCTCTGCAGTGCAAAGATGTTTGTGTCACAACAAGGTCGTAGGCAAATGCACAAAGACGATGAGAAAGGTTAATAAGGCTTTAATTTAAGAATTAAACATGCTCTAACACAAACAATAAGAGGTGGAAACAGAAACAGAGAAACAAATAAGAGGTGAAAACAGAGAAATTTAAAAACAGGGCAAACTAGAGAATGGAAACACATGAGTGGCAGGAACTAAAACAAGGAAACGCGTGACTGGGGGAAAACAAATTAAATGTCCATGAAAGAAAAAATATATATAAACTGTGACAGTTTGTTGATACTGATCTCATTTGACTGGCAACAGTCCTATAGTGTCTTATTATTCTAATGAATAAATTTAAGAATTTACATGAAATGGGACGCAGGCATTTAAAAAAAGGTTAGAAAAGTAGAGTTTTACCTCTGTGCTTAATCTGAATCCAATTTCAAATTATTAAAAAACTTAAGACTAAAATTATTATTAATTTAGTTTTAATTTGTATATTTGAAAATTATGGTATCCCCTTACTGTTCATTTATTTGTTCATTAGTTCATCAAAATTATTCATTTTGTAATGAATTACTTCTCTGCTGGTATTTTGACCCATTCCTCACTTGGAACATCTTTAAGATCACAGATAATCTTTGGTTTTCATGTTGCCACTGATTTCTTCAAATCCCACCAAATATTTTTAATGAGATTGAAATCTGAAGACTGATTAGGCCACTCAAGAATGTTCTACAATCAATCCCTGAACCAAGCTTCAGTATATTTAAACATATACTTTGGGATGGTTGTCCTGCTGGAAGGTTCAGTGATTATCAAGCTTCAGTTTATGCACTGAATCCATTGTGTCCTTCATATAGTCCAGATTTCCATTTCCTGTAACAGCAAAACACCTCCATAATAAGACTGGTCCATCTCCATGTTTGACCACGGGGATGGTGTTCTTCTGCTCATAAACATTGCCTTTCTTGGACCAGGCATAACAAAACGTGTGCGTGTGTGTGTGTGTGTGTATATACATATATATATACATATATATATATATATATATATATATATATATATATATATATATACACAACAGTGTTTATGTTTTTGTGATGTTTGAGAATGTACATAGTCAGTGAATACCAGGTTATTGTCATAAGCATAAGACCCATACAAAAGGTAAGGTGTTGACACAATTCACCACATGGTGTCACTCAGAAGTCAAGTAAAACTCATTTAAGGTGATTGAGCTAATGTGACATTGTCAGATAAATCTCTGCTTTTCTATGAAAAAAAAATCATAATTTTTGGAGATTTTAACTTTTGCATACTGTAGATTAGGAAAACAATTTTGGTCAGTCAAAATGTCACTAACCACTCGTTGCCATAATCATACACTAGTTTTAATTCTGTCAGACAGAGTTGACAATACAGCTATTCAGCCACAGAGTAATGATATTTCAGATGACTACGTGCTACTAAGATAGTAATTTAGAAACTGAAGTGCAAAAGGAATAATAAATAAATCAAATAAATTTAGAAGTGCATGGAAATGTTTCTAGCTACGGACAGCCTGAAAGCTGCTATGTCTGCATATTTATGGAACATAACCAAAACAATCTTATCAAATCAAAGTTTTTATTCAGTATAGTGGCAAGACTGACATGAAGAAACAGATATTTCTTCAAAGCATAGCAGTGATGCAATTTATGAATTTTTACTGAGAAAATGTAGAACTTTGGAAAGAAAACTGAAAATTTACAACCAGCTGGTAAAGCCTTTTCCCAGTTGGCTCCTAAAATTTTAAATAGCATTACTGGCAACGTTTGGGACACTCTAAATTGTGAAAATGTTTAAAGACTTATCCTTTTAGTCACTCTGTGCATTTCGTTTTCAGTCTACAGGAATCAAAACAAATGATCACAGGTTTGAACTCTTTTTGACTCTACAGAAGCTATATCAGCTATAGCACGAGAAATCCATATCCAAAAACTACAGTAGCAAGAAAACCAGACAACATGACAAGACACGGAAACACTTGATTCTGTGTGGAAAGCTCTGAGCCCTCTGAGTGAGTTCACTGATGCCCTGTCTGGACAAGTCTATCTTACCTGAAGCATGTGCTTCATCTTTGTCACCACAGGATGAAGACCTAACTTACAAATGATACTAAACATAAAATTATTACCAGCCACACAAGACCATGCTGTACATGACATTCATAGACTAAATACATACTATATATACTACAAGTATGAAAACTGTATTGACTGATTCTTAACATTTCTTTTGTCTTTTTGTTTTTTTAATTTGTAGCACTTTGGGATTCTGTTTGAATATAAATCACGTTATAAATAAAATGTATTATTATTATTTGTATTATTATTGACTGTATAATGACAAGCAGATGTATATAGTACTTTTTTATTTGGAGCCAAACATGGTCACTATATACTTGCATGGAAAGGTGTTTCATTAAATTCTCCTTTGTCTTTCGGGGGGGGGGGAAGCATACATCGGAACAAATGCAGTCGAGTAAAGAAAACACATGACTAATTAGCGAGAGAGCGTGGGGGGGGGGGATGGGGGGGGAGGGAGGTGAGGTATATAAAACAAGAGATACACAAGAGGGGTACAAAATGCCTACCTGAGTCTTTTTTAATTCTCTTATTCAGCATCACCAAAAATGAAACCAAACCCCGAGTGAGAGTGACCAACATTTCATGTCTTTGTTCATTAGACTGTAAGAGGAGCACATCACCAATCATGCAAGGTAAACTCTTCAATTTTTCTCATTCTATCAAAAGATTATTCAACTTAGGAATTATATTTTACATTTGAAAGTAAAAATAAAGGTACTTGGATGGTTGTTTGTAGTATAGGTTTATAATCAAGAACCTTTTTTGGCTGCCTATATTTCTTTAGAGGCTTAAAGCTTCTTGATGTTATTATACATTCTTCAGATCTGTTTATCAGTTTATTGTGTTCTTTAAACCTAAAAGCTAAAATGTTCAATGTAAAACACTTTTTGGTTCTGAATGGAACTTTTTTTTTCCAAGAGTGAAATAGGAATGTTATAGTAACAACAACAACAATAATAATTATTATAAATTGTAAAATTCATTTACAATAAAAAATTTTATAAAAACGTATTAATTTACAAAAAAAATACATTATTTTAATGTAACCAAATAATAAAAAATAATCATAGAGTAGCATAGAAAAGCAAGAGTGATATATACATACATATATATAGCTTCAGTGGATGTGAAACATTATGTGAACTGTGTTTTTAGTGAGAATGATGCAGAGAACTGTCCCGCTATTGTTCTGCTGCCTGTTACTTTCAGCGACATCTTCCCCAGTCTATCCACTGAGGTAAGACAGACCAAAACCAACTGTCATTACATAGTTTTTTTTTTATATAAAATATTTGATTGTTTTATTTTTCATGCATGTAAATTAAACAAATATTTATTTTATTTGTAACAAATCTCCTAACGTACAGATATTTGTATGAACCTAAAAATATTCAATGTGTGAAACATCGCAGACATGTGATGAACAGAAATGGAATAATGAGTACCTGAACAAAGTGGGGATCAATATCTTTTAAGTTCCCGCTGTGAAATGCTACTACTCTCTTCCAACAAGGTACTTGCAAGTTCTTGAACACATCTGGGGGATACATGGTTACATGTGGTTTGCCACTGCAAGGACAATCAGCTGTCCTTCCAGCCTCCCTGTAGCCCTGTCTTAGGTGTCTTACACTACGCACATTGCAGTTTATTGCACTGGCCGCACCTGCAGTCCTCATGCCCAACCCTGGGCATCTTTCTTCTGTGTTTTTCAGAGTCAGCAAAATGTCTTTGCACTGTCCTAAGTAATTATAACTGTGACCTTAATTGACTACCGCCTGTAAACTGTTAGTGTCTTAAGTTAGTTTGTGTATTCATTCTGTAATTTGCAACTGCTTTAGAAAAGTTATTCCTTAACACTAGAATTTAAGTGGTAACTACTTCAGCCTTATTCAAATATATACAGTGTCGTTATATGTCTGAATCATGCAGTCTTCTTTGCAGCAAACATAACATATAACAGTTACATCATTCATAATTACAAATCCTCTTAAATGAGAAACTACTTGAAATCATCAACAGTTTTATGTAACAGCAAACCATTCTCATAGCATTCTGATTTTCTCAGAACACGACATTTGCAGCACAACTAATTAACAGTGTATGACTCATTTTTACACTAATATGGTTATACATCTCTACAAACACATGGGCAAAGAGTAGGGTGTGAATGGTACGAACAAAGAACAGCTGCCTATGAGAAGAGTGAAAGTCTATGTTCAGAGTCTGTCACACGTTACCCTAATTAATAGAGACTGAGCTCTGCTTTTGTTGTGTTAACTAGGGTCAGGGTTTCTATTATGAACTACAGACACTTGATGCGAGTCCACAGCTTTTTGCAATCCTCTTATTGAATTCTCTCCCCTGCTACATTAAATTTGTAAGCTAATAACAATGTTTTTGTTTAAAAACTGTGGTGAGACTGACTAGTTGTCCCAGTCATAACCCCATCCCTTGATTATGATAGACACACAGTATCTCATTAAATATAAAGTGATAAACACAGTGCTTGATGTGTTTGTTAGGTTCGGTCAGAGAGCGGCTGCGATACTGATGACCTCCTCTATCGAGGATCCAATGCAGTTGCCAGCAGACACTTCATCCCAAACACCAGACGCTGAGTTTAGGTCAGTCAATTATTCATTCATCTAGCGCTAAACAATAACACCTTTTTTCTACTTTTTGTCTTCAGACTTTTCTTGCCTTGACATTTTCACTGGCATATACTAAAATACTGTACGTATGCATCATTTGTAGTTAATTAACAAATGGTTTAGCTTTTTAATTTGCCAAGACAACTATCAAAACACTTTGGCTGCAAAATGGTGGTATACAGTTATATGGCATACTGCATACAATGATTACAGCCATATAGTCAACAAATTTTTGCTGATGCTTCCAAACGATCAAAAATCATTCTTGCAATTTTAATAAAATTTAACTAAATGTAAGATTTAATAAAAATGCAGCACTGGCCCAACAAGCATGTGACATTTCTGTTCACTGGCACAAACTTCTTGCACTGTACTTTGGGCCATCCCAGTGGTTGAACCCTAATACCATCCTTGGTCAGAAATGGTCTAATCTGACTTCAAATATAGTCATCTAATTCTGAAATAACAGTATGATGTTTAAACACCATTTTTAGGTTTGGAAGACATGCTGACGCCATCTTTACCAACAGCTACCGAAAAGTTCTCGGTCAAATATATGCCAGAAAATTCCTTCAAACTGTTATGGGCAAAAGACTTGGGTATGTTTTTTGTTTTAGACATTTTTGGACAACTATAACAAAATCATTTAATGTTTTTAATTAAATAATTTTGTTTTAGTAACCCCCCCCCCCCATTCTGCTGATTAATCTCATGATTTACACAATTTAATAATGCTGTGTCCCATGATATTTCAATCCCTTTGTTCTCTCTCTGTCAACAGACCAGAAACTCAAAACTATGTGAAACGCCAGTCTGGCATTTATGGAGACACCTTCAAGCAAGATGTGGATATGGATGTCATTGAGAGGGAACAAAGTTACAGAGAACCACAAAGACTTAAGTTCTCAGTAGTTACACAATGATTAAAAATTAATACAAATCTGCGAACAGTCTTTATACTTGCATTGGCCACATTTCACACTGGATTATTAAATCTCAGTTCACCCTTCATACAGTTTTCTGTGCACAGTGTATTTTTACAGCCAGTTTTCAGAAGGTCTGCCACAGAAATCAGGAGTCCCTACCTAAAAATACACAATTGTTAAAATGTATTTGACATCCACACCTCAGCAAGTACATATGGTTGTATAGCGGTATAACTGATCATTCCCTAAGCCACTCCTTAATAACACTGATGACAAATCCTACCTGATATTAGAACTCTTGCCAAAATATATTGAAAAACAATAATAAATAAAACTGTCACCTCTCACTAATTGTATTATTTCTAAGTTGACAAGTAGAGTATTACTCTCATGAACAATTTCAAACATTTTAGAAAGACTATAGAAAATACAAGCTCCAAAGTAGAACCTCAAAGAAACAAGATAATACAATTTAGTGAACATACCTGTTATCACTGACACACGAGTTTGAAAGCCTGACAAAATTGAGCACACCTGTGATTTCCAATGCATGACACCATGAAAATAGTGTTAAAATAGCAAGCAACCAACTAAAAAATGAACTCTGACTGAACACCACAACTTTCTAAATTTTGGATCTATAGACTGTGGCTGAGCCCGAAAACTGACAAATGCTGCCTTCGGAGGATGCATTCCAACGTAGGAAGGCATCAAGGCAAGTCCGAATCCAATATCAGCTTCACTTCGTGCCTCCTAAGATGTCTTCGTCTGATCGATTTTTTGAAGGCAGCATAGTTGTATCCTTCGATTCCTTTGACATCCCACAATCCTGTGTGTTCCATTCCATGACAGTTCAGCTAAAAAATAAAAATCCCATCTGAAGTTGCGTTTGGTGGACAGTTTGTTTTGTCATGTCCGAAATCAGTTTCATGAGGTGCCTTCTTGCGCAAATGCTGCCTTTAAAGTCATTGTTTGATAAGGCAGCGAGGCAACGAGTCAGCAGCCTAAGCTTTTGGACGCAGCCTGTTTTTCTGCATGTCTGCATCATGGATCCAAATAGAAAATAATTACCAGAAGAACTGAATAAGTTGCTTGTGAGACTTTACAAAGACGGAAAAAGATACATGAAGATTGACAAATAAAAAAAACACTGAAAAAAAAACTGGAAAAACATTAATTATCCGATGTACCCAATTAATAGCCTATTTGTCATCTACACAACAAAATTGTTTCTCTTTTATCTTGATTTCTTTAGTTTCAATTAATGTAATTCCCTTAAATGTGAAATCTACTAGATTCAATTATGTAGGGCGAATGTGAACCAATCAAGTACTCTTTTGCTGTTGACAAAACTCTTTGTATGGGACAATTTCATAATTTCTACTCTCATTAAGTATTTTATGTGTTTTTAAGCAGGTGAGAAAAGGGGGTGATTTTATTGTTTTAATGTTCATTTAGGTTGGCTTTTAAAACTTTACTCTGTATAATTTCTTCTATGTTTGCTCACAGTTTGTTATCTAGCTAATACAATCTTATACTTGTCCAGTGCTAGTCTAGTAATGAGACAAAATATACGAAATTTAAATGAATTCTGTCATGGAACAAAGTAAAATTATAATAATATTTTAATGGATGATCTGCACCAAAAAAGTTAAGAGCAGCCAGCAAATGTCCAACATACATGTTAAGCCCTTCAAAATGGCTTATAAAAAGCATAAAGCTTTCATTTATTTAACATGTTCTGGTTCCTACATAATCCCCTTACAGCCACCCTGCTCTCTAAAAACCAGTATCGGCCACTAAACAACACAAAGGGAGCAAATGTGTTTTTATCGTTTTATTTATTTATTTTAAAAACACCGTGTTAGCCATCTGTGTGGTGATGACTGGAAGAATGATTCCACATTTCTGTTCATTTGATGACAAATAAAACCTCTTGCTCTGATGTATGATAAAAAATAAAATAAAAATAAAAAAATCAAACAGGAACATGCTTCACTATTCGTTACAAAAATCTGAGGACAGGAATTTGTATTCAAAAACAATCAAATGAACATCCTTACAAAAACAGAAAACAGCAGTAGAATATCACCAACTTTCATTTGCATCACCACCAAACACAATTCAATGTACAAGCAACAATCATCATATATCCTCAACATCTGACAGTGATTTGTTGTCAGAAAAAAAACTGCGCGTTTCTTAATTGTCAATTTTGAAAAATTCAGAATCTGCATCTTTGTTTCTCTTTTAAACCACCACCAATACTTCTGTTCCCAAATTTCTTAAAGAAAAAACATGAACATGAAACATCCATGGTCTTCACGATTTTACCAGCATCATTTTCCTTCAAGTCTGAAAGAGAGAACATCAAGTACTGGTTAAAACCAAATTTGTACTTCCTGTAGTAAATAGCAGTGCTTGCAGGGTAGCAAAACTTGGGTTTTAAACTTTGGTTCTTCATATTCTGCAATGCCACACTAAACCTTTTTGTCATCAATCACACTGCAGTTGGTTAGTATAATACCACTCTGTATTCAAAACAATTTTAGGAGGGGGTATTCACCAAGAATAAATAGCATGCATTGAGCATTGTTTATTAGCATGCATCATGTCTGCAGTGCTTCAGCAAGATTTGAAAACACATGCAAATCAGGTATTGCAAACACCAGGCACAGCTTGCACAGAGCAATTCCTCTTTAGCAGGCCAGTTATGAGTACTATAGGTTAAGAAGGATGCAGCAGACTACTACGATCTCCACGCCAAGAAATTATCATAATTTTAACTGTAAAAGACTGTTAAAAATGCTACAGTAAACATCTATTAATTGTTATACAGGGGGAAAAAAAAGTCATAGATCTTAACTTACATTTCATGTCATTTTATAGCAAGACATTGTTAAAGGTGCCATTTTTGGAAGTAGAAAAGAACTGACAAACCATAAACCGACATTCCCAGAAATCCCTGTGGCACTTCACATTTGATTGGATTTCATTTAAATAATTGTTTATTGGTAGTTTTTGCTATCAGATGTGTATATTTTGTCTGTATGACACCGTGCACCTACTATATATTAGAATTTACCTCACCTTGTGGAAAGGCTACTTGTGATGAACTTTTATTCTTCATGTGGCTTTTCCTTTACCACCTGTGTTACAAAACTGATTTATGTAGCAGTATAGCCTTGCTAATTCACCAAAAAAGGCTGTGTTTTTTTTTTATTAAGTTATTTTGGTAAGAAATTTTGGCAACACTATTTTAAGTACCAGTTCTCACTATTAACTAGTTGCATATTAGAATTTACCTCACCTTGTGGAAAGGCTACTTGTGATGAACTTTTATTCTTCATGTGGCTTTTCCTTTACCACCTGTGTTACAAAACTGATTTATGTAGCAGTATAGCCTTGCTAATTCACCAAAAAAGGCTGTGTTTTTTTTTTTATTAAGTTATTTTGGTAAGAAATTTTGGCAACACTATTTTAAGTACCAGTTCTCACTATTAACTAGTTGCTTATTACTAGCATATTGGCTGTTTATTAGTACTTATAAAGCACTTATTCTGCATGACCATATTTAGATCCCTTAATCCACCCCATACCTAAACTCAGCTACCATACTAACTATTAATAAGCTGCAAATTAGGAGTTCAGGGAAAACTCTTAATAGTTAATAGTGAATATATGTTTCCTATTCTGAAGGGTCACCGATTTTTTGTTTGTTTGTAAAAAAAACACAACAGGAAATTTGTACCTGTATTTTGGTTGTTGATGTTAAAGGCTGCACAGCAAATCAAACTGTGATATTTTAGTGCAAATTAATTATTACACTTTTGCATGATACAGAAATGTTTGTAGGTAACAAAACCAGATAAGAACATTTGTGCAAAAAAAAAAAAAAAGCACTGCCATTTGTGAACCCCTATGATCCCCCTTATTTTTACAGAAACACGTTTGCACTGAAAATAATATTTTAGTGAACTTGCTGCTTGGAATTTATAGAGTAGTTGTTCATGCAGAACTTTAATTAGGCAACTCCACAACTGAGAAACTATCACAGCGACATAAAGACTTTGGGGCAAAATAAATATAAAATCTCAGATCAAGTAATTTATCACATAGGGCCTAAACTGTAGTTCAGCGGTCTGTCACTGCACACACTAATGAAGTGAAACACAAGCCAACAAAAACAAGTGATCACAACACTCTGATCAATAAAAAGCAAGACATGAAAAATATGGCTTGACAGTCACAAATGGCATTATGTTTCAAAGGAAGTTGTGAGCTTCACTCAACAAACACACCAACATAGCCATGCGCAGTAGGTGTTGTCATGGAAACGTTGATGTCATATTATGGGATGCACAGGTGGCAACAGCAAGCCTTACTTCAGCCTGAAGACTGGCCTTTCTTTTTGCAAAACATTCAGGCATTTATCGCAGACTTCTATATTTTGCCAACCTACTACTTTGTTCTGCAGCAATCCTAAAGGAAGGGTAAAGAAAGAGAAAGAATGGAAAAGTGCAGAAGGGTAAAAGAAACAAACACTGAGACAAAGTATGTTCACACCAAGAACAATAACTATAACACTAACAATAATAGATTCACACCAATGGACAACAACTTTATTAATGCCATCTGCCCCTTTAAAGTAAGTTGAATTCTGATTGAATTGTTTTTATCGTTCATCAGTTGGAAAAAAAACAGTTCTTAACGAGATTCCAATGATATTGTTGTTCTTTATTTTTATAGCTATGGTGCGGACTTCCCTATTATTCTTATAGAATAAGAACGATTAATAAAACGTTATAGTTATTATAGTTATCATTCATGCTTGGTGTGAATGTCCCTTTATGCTCCATTCAACTTGGTCTGGCATTCAAAAGACCGTTGCAACTTGCTAGTAGGGGTTTTTCACTACTAGACGCCCCAATATTATTGGTGGGCTGTGTAACTGGCAATACCTTTTGAAAATCTGCCAAACAATGACATGGCAGTAAAAATAAGATCTCATGGTGGATGGATGAGCTCCAATTCACTGACATTAGTAGTTGTTGACATTTGCATAAAGTTATACTTTTCTCATCGGTCACATCACCAACTGTCAATCATGCCAGCGGAAGTCACTAACTCTCACTGATAACGATTTTAGGTCGCTTTGCTGTTGATTGCTGTATGTACAAATGGAAAAGAGATAAAACTCTAGACAAGCAGAAGTCAAAACCTTCTAAGAATGCATTAGAGGAATGTGTATCTGTGCAGAATTGGGCCTAGGGAAAAACAAAACATTTCAGGTTAAAACTAAACACTGAATGAACACTTATGTTCTCTCTAAGGTCTTTCTGAAGGCACTACAGTTTAATTAGGTGAGTAATCATCCCTGAAAGCAGGGCATACTCGGGGAGGTACATGTAAATCTGTGAAATTAATCTAGTCCCAAAAGGCAGAAAATGAAGAGAGGAAACCACTTCTGAGTAACCCAAGCACACACTACAGAGCTGAGAGACGGCAACACACCCACAAGTTCAGCAGAAGGTTCAGAGTGAAGACACAAAGGGGACAGAGATAAAATCCAAGCCTCTATTTTGACAAATAGTGCAATTAAAAGCTGCCTTTTTACCACGTCAGAAAAAAGGACTGAATGATATATCAAATATTCGCTACATATACATAATTTTGATGGCAACCTAAAATTAAGCAACATATCACAGTGACTTGAATGCAGTGTTAATTTTGACAGCAAATTCTGATTTAGTTTTAGTCAGTCATTTGACTAAAACGCCATTTAGTTTTAGTCATATTTTAGTCATCTGAATTGTATTTAGTTTTAGTCGACTAAATCTACAGTAAATTTAGTCGGCTAAAATCTAATGGGTTTAGTTACAGTGCATTTATTAAGCATTTCTCTAAAATATACAAACTCATTATATAGGTTTGATATTAAGGTTTTATCATGATAGACACCGATTTAACGGCGGTGACACACAACATGCCTTTGTTAAAATTAAATAAAACCACTTCTCATAAAGAAGAACATGGTCTTCATATTAATGAAATACCAATGGTTATATAGGCTAATTATTAGGGCTGTGAATCTTTGGATAAACAGCGATTCGATTCGATTCACAGGTTTTCAATTCGATTCAAGAACGATTTTTTGCAAATTTAGAACGATTCAATTCGATTCTGCATTCTTTATGTGCATTCACAGGATTATTTAAATGCTTCCCCTAAATTCTTTAAATGCTTAGTCAGGGGGCAAATTACACAGAAGCCTTTATGATTAGAGAACCATAGGTTAAAGAAAAAAAAACACTTTTGTCCATTGTTAGATGCTGGTTTAATGATGCTATGGCATGACAAAGCATACGTAAAAATTTATGTAAGCCAAGATTTAAAAAAAAAAAGGAGAAGAGCTTTAAAAGTATTCTGTATAGGCTAACATTTTGTAACACCAGGGGCGTAGCCATCATTTCAGAAATGACAGAAATGTCAAATACAATAATTTTATGTATGTATGTATTATTATAATTATTATTTTTTACAAGGAATTATTTTCTTATCTTTTACTTTGAATTTGCTATAAGAAATCAAAATACACTGCTCGACAATAATCAATCATTTGTAATCTAGAATTTTTCCCTAATGGCAATTTTATGATTGTTTTATATACTACAAACAATTATTTCAAATTTCTGCACAGAAGTAGGTAGAAAATATACTTCATAGTTTCTGTACTGTAATAAATGTTATGTCAATTAGCACTGCATCATTCATAAATTTGATTTATTTGTTGTGTTTATTATCTTAACGTTTCATCAGTTCATTCTGCTTTTTATTCAGATTAGCTGCAGATATAGCCTGGCACGTCTTAAGTTCTTTGAGCGCGAGATCAATTCTCTTTAGTGCGAAAAGTTCTTTATCCAATTTTCATAAAATAAAATGCTATAGTATTTAAATTTTCTTCTCCATCGGTGAATAATGATTCTGAAAGAAAACGCGCCCGATGTCTGTTTGCTAGCAACAAACGCTACTTTCATGCATCTGATTATCAGATAAACCTCTCACTCTTATTTCAAGGTTGTTGTTAATGCTGTGGTTATTTGAACAGTTTCCTTTGTACATTCGGTTGAACGACATTGTTAAAACACATTTATCATTCAATGGAAATGTGCGTGTGCTTTAGACACTTAAATTTTTGCTCCGTCCATGCAATAAATCAGGTAATGTTGTCGGTATGAACGAGAGCCATTGAAAATCTACAGAAAAGAAAACTACTTCACTTTAACATGACTGGCCACGAGTACTAAGGAGAGATCACACATCAGCTGCTCAGAAAATGTGTCGGTGAGACGAACGGAGCGCAATTCTGTGACAGTCACAGGCGGTAAATAGTGGAGCGCATGAAAGAAAGATGCGAGGGCACGAACACTGTTCAAGGTCTCCATTAATTTGTGCTTGTAGTAATTGAATATGTATATATTTTGAAAGCATTGAATCGCTATAGAAATCGCGATTCATTCGATTCTTAGCGTTTTAAATCAATTACGGTCTGAAATCGGCGATTCACGATTCAAAAATCATGTTTCAAGATCGATGCATATGCATTGTCAGGGTTTGTAATCGACGCATCGATAAAACAAGTGAATCGTTACACCCCTACTAATTATGCATTCTTTATAGCAACTTGTTTACCATATTCTTCATTCTTTCAAGCAGACATATTTATTTCTATGAATAAATTTAGATTAATCTTTAGGGCTACTAAAGTTTTCCAGTTAAGAGCAGTGAGAGATTTTCTGTCTTTCTTTTGTTGCTTGAGTAACAAATTTTTAACATGATAACATCAATTATTGACTCGGACAATAGCAACTAAATTAGGCTGCTATCCCTTTGAAACCGAATGCACAGCTGCAATGGATGCAATGTACTGATACACGTTGTCCCTACTGCTTACGTTCACTTAAGACGTAATCAACTGCATTTACGTGAATACTCGTCAAAACGGACAATTCGACACAATTGTGTGTGTAATTCGCCGTTCTTGTAGTAATTGAATATGTATATATTTTGAAAGCATTGAATCGCTATAGAAATCGCGATTCATTCGATTCTTAGCGTTTTAAATCAATTACGGTCTGAAATCGGCGATTCACGATTCAAAAATCATGTTTCAAGATCGATGCATATGCATTGTCAGGGTTTGTAATCGACGCATCGATAAAACAAGTGAATCGTTACACCCCTACTAATTATGCATTCTTTATAGCAACTTGTTTACCATATTCTTCATTCTTTCAAGCAGACATATTTATTTCTATGAATAAATTTAGATTAATCTTTAGGGCTACTAAAGTTTTCCAGTTAAGAGCAGTGAGAGATTTTCTGTCTTTCTTTTGTTGCTTGAGTAACAAATTTTTAACATGATAACATCAATTATTGACTCGGACAATAGCAACTAAATTAGGCTGCTATCCCTTTGAAACCGAATGCACAGCTGCAATGGATGCAATGTACTGATACACGTTGTCCCTACTGCTTACGTTCACTTAAGACGTAATCAACTGCATTTACGTGAATACTCGTCAAAACGGACAATTCGACACAATTGTGTGTGTAATTCGCCGTTCATGCGTCGCAAGAGAGGGCTCCAGATTGCGACTGAAAGGGTCGCATTGGCGACCAAAAATATAATTTTTTCGCTGAGGTCGCCACTGGCGACTACAGGTGCATCTCAATAAATTAGAATGTCGTGGAAAAGTTCATTTATTTCAGTAATTCAACTCAAATTGTGAAACTCGTGTATTAAATAAATTCAATGCACACAGACTGAATTGCTTAGCTGATTGGCATGTCACCATATTCTAATTTGTCGAGATAGTGAACAAAAAGGGTTTTTGTTAAATGTGAGCCAAAATCATCACAATTAAAAGAACCAAAGACTTAAACTACTTCAGTCTGTGTGCACTGAATTTATTTAATACACGAGTTTCACAATTTGAGTTGAATTACTGAAACAAATGAACTTTTCCACAACATTCTAATTTATTGAGATGCACCTGTATATATTTACATGTTATGACTTAAAAATTTGCATGTAATGCCTTTTTTCCTGATTGCTTTGTGATCACATCTTTTGTTATGTTCACATATTAAACTGAGACGATGCGCAGCAAAGTTTTAGTGGGAAAAAAGTTTGAAACCGTGCTCATCTCTGCAGCGCTGATACACACCTGATAAACGCAGTTCAGTTGAGCAGCGCGAGAGAGATTGAAAAGACGGAGATATGCGTCTAAAGCAGCATCTATTTCGTGCACAACTTGAACAAACTACAACGGGTAGAGCTGTCAGCTGTGTGGACATTGACAATATCGTTAACAATTCTCGATTATAATCATTACTAATATGGCATCTTCTTATCAAGATCTTAGTCTATATGCGGTGTTCTGTTAATGCGTGAACTTCATATTATTTGATTACTTGCCGTCCAGTAATTGCAAAAAAGCTTTGTGCTTTGTTCATTTTAAATAAAAGTATCAGCTTTACAATTTTTCAAATTAATAACGAAATTCAAACAATAAATACGGTTTTGGCGCTCTTTAATGCAGCAGGCGTGATCGCTTTAGCGCCTCAGTTCAAGCGGCAAGTGAACCCATTTAATCTTTCTCTTTACTACTATAGTACATAATGAACATGAATTAACATCAAAAGGTAGGCTATTTTATAAGAGAGCCTACAGTACAACTTACTGAAATGTCTCATGTAATCGCTCATTCTGTGTCAAACTGTGGAAAACGTGTAACGCTTGTAAACATCGCAACATAATAATACATTTACCTCTGAATAACCATTCGGCGTCCATAAACTCATTAGTCAGCTAGAAAAATAACTAAAGAGGAGCATTTTGCTATATGTTTGAGCTATTGAATATTAATATTTTTACTTAACCTGTTGCCTACATGATTCAACTCCTCCTATAAAATTGCATTTTACTAATGAAGAAAAACAGACTGAATGTGTGAAAGACATATGACAACATTTATAGGATGCGCATTTAGGAGGAGCCCAAACTACACTCAGTGGCCAAGTGATGCTTATGGTCCATGATATTGGTACAGATTCTGTGTAATGAACAATTCTTTGTGACTGTATATTTCAAGTTGGAAAAGACATTTAGTTCCCACTTTAAATGAACCTTAGTTCCCAGGTCATCTACAAGATGGATTAAAACGCTGATAAAGTCAAGAAAAGATGAGACAAACACATGACAGTATGATTAATATGTTAAAATGTTAAAACAATAATAATAATAAAATAAATAAAACACGTTTATTCTGTGGCACCTAAAAAAAATAAGTTTTTGCTTATAGGAGCCAATGGCTCCTTGCTCAATTTTTTTGTCTGGGGCCCTGCCTTGTGTGCTGTGAGACGCGCTTTCTGTGTGTATGCTTCAGTGTCTGCGCTCAGAAAACCGGAACGAATTGAGTTCTCTCTTGCGTCGTCAGATTTATCCATATGTCTGCTCTTCTATTACACCCACATATTGACATTTTTTAACATTTTATGAGACGTGCAGCAAGTATATTTTAGCTTATGTCCCGCCGGTTCAAATGTATGCATCTAACCTCTGAACCACACAGCAGATTCATTCTTAATGAATCTCTTCCCAAATCGTCCCTCCCTAACATTTTCGTCTCGTTTTTATTCGTTGACGAAAATGTCAATAGATTTTCGTCATAGTTTTTGTCATTCAAAAAGGGTTTTAGTTCGTTATCGTCTTGTTGTCGTCGGTGGAAAAAATGTTGTTGACGAAAATGATGATGATAATTATTAGTCAATGAAATGAACACTGCTTGAATGACCATTCAATTTGGCCTTTAAGGCTGCTAAAAACTGTGCATAAGACTAGCTTCATGATACTAACACTGGTCCATTTGCACTTTCAATCAAAAACGTTACTACACGCTACTTTTACATACACTTGCACATACAATTGCACCTTTTTCGCCAGGAAAGTTTCACTGTGCGAGAGTAAATGCTGTTTATGTCTGAATAGGCTAATGTTTAGATTATCCATTAGCTAGTGTGCTCAAAAACAATGGCAAAATTTGCATTTAGAGGTTACATGCATTAAAAATTGATAGTCTCTCTCTCTACCGCCACTACGGATAAATAATTTTGATGACATCATTCTGCATTTTAGCTTCTCATCAGATTTTCTTTTCAAATCAAATGCTCTTTAGAATCTGAAGCATCCCACCCACTACATGATAAAAACGGTGCTATAACTGCAGTGGAAATCGGTCACTTATTCAGTTTTCTATATGGTGAGTAAAAGGCACATAGTGCACTTTATAAGGGAAAGTGAATGATTCGGACAGTCTAAATAATATGCTTTCCATTCGGGTGCTGGCAAAGGACAATAGAAGCAATATCAGTTTAAAACAGTTACTGTACCTTTTCACAGCTTTTTGTGCCAGCATGCGGTTCCCAGCCAGGAATGTGAGGCTGCCTATGATAGCCAAATACTTCATAGTCTGGAACATGTTCAAGTGAGTCCAGTACACATACATTAGACCCAACATAGCTGCAAGTGAAGAAAAAAAAAAGAATTTTCAATTTTCTCTCAGAAGCATGTAACATTTCAAAAGTTAAATTGGATGCAGGTCTGTTCTAAGAGCAGTGAAAGGTGAAAAAACTAAGCAAACATTACAATTGTGCATAGTTACTTTGCTCCACTCCATACATGGATAACTGTTTTGCTGCTTATCTCAATTTAAGTTAAATATTCCATCAACATTTCTCATCAAATATTCCATGAAATATTCCACTGGACATTTTCTATTCGATTGTACATTAATTTGGAAATTCAATGTGTAAATCTGGTTATGATAAACTTGAGAAAAATCACCAAAAAAAAAATATATATAAAATAAATTAATTGGTTAATTCACAGCCTATTTCATTCTAAGTACTGTGTACATTCTTTTTGTACTGTGCTGGATTTTGAGTTCTAAAGGAAAAAAACCATTGACAACAACTGATTTATATTTCATTGTAAAAAATCTATTTCTCTATGAAGAGAATGAGATTCATACTTTCTGAATCCTACTGTTGCACTCTATTAACTCTATTGATCACGTCAAGTACCGAATGCTATGTAATAAAAGTCAGTCGACTTACCTGCGTGGCCTATGTGGAAGAGAAAAGTGCTGGGTGACAGTGTGAAGTTTGAGATATTGGCTCCAAGTTTAACCCACTGTATAGGCAAAATGGAGAAACATGAGCATGACAGACAGAGTGAATGACAGAATGATAGACCGAATATGTATCTTTTTTTTAACTGACAAATCAAAACATTATTTTACATAGTTTCATTTAATAGCATGTCAGTTTTTACGTGCACCCATAATAACGGGTCAGAAGACCATTACCAGTATGAGCAGGAGCAGAAACGGAGAGAGGACCAAGGCAGTAAATGCATTGGACACAACTGTGGGTGGCTTCTTCTCTGGCTCTCGGAATAGATGCTGTAGAAACAATATTATTAGTAAAAAAAAAAAAAAATACAGAAATTACATAACAAATAGGACTGGGCATATTTTGATATTGATATTTTTAGCCTTTCGATATACATCATTTCAACCAAACATAATCAATTAAAAAAGGAAACAGTATAACTTAAGTTTAAGAAAGAGTTGAAAAGTTGAAAAAGTTATAAAAAATTTTTTTTTTTTTTTTAAATGCAATACATAAACAGCAATACCTGCATTGTTCTATTTTAACAAACTGTGTAATTACTAATTATATTAACACAATTTTTTTTTTTTAATGAACCTGAACTAATAAACATATACATATACATATATATATATATATATATATATATATATATATATAATCAATTAAAAAAGGAAACAGTATAACTTAAGTTTAAGAAAGAGTTGAAAAGTTGAAAAAGTTATAAAAAATTATTTTTTTTTTTTTAAATGCAATACATAAACAGCAATACCTGCATTGTTCTATTTTAACAAACTGTGTAATTACTAATTATATTAACACAAATTTTTTTTTTTAATGAACCTGAACTAATAAACATATACATATACATATACATATATATATATATAATATCCTGTTGTCCCTGTGTACCATTGTGCTTACCTGGATTTCTGGTTTGGGCGTGTACAAAGTTTTAGCCTGAATTGTTGAAGGTGCCTCTTCATCTAAGAACTTCAGCACAACGTCAGCCTTTGAGAAAAATTAAGTCTAATAAAGACTAAATCCATGTCTTTTTGCAAGGACAATGCCAATTCAACATTAACAAACATGTCAGACGAAAGACAAAAACAACACCGCACTTACAAAAGTCTATTTCAAGAGTCCACAGTTCTCTAATGAAAATAACTGCCTTACCACGTTCCACAAAATGGGGTTCTCCAGCGTAGCATCTCCCATCATCAAGTAAAGAGCATAGGTGCCAGAGATGGAGTCAAACTCTGTCTTTCTCTCAGTTGTATCCAGCTCAAACTTATACAAATTCTTACTGTCGGGTTCAGCCACAAACACAACCTCCTGACCTGTCTTCTGGTTGTGTAACCTCACAAAGGTCTGAAAGCAATCACTTGAATCAGTTCATTCAAATGTTTTTGAACAGTGCATTTGCTTGGAGTGAGATATTGATGATGACATGGGCTTAATCAATGACAGTTTTAAGAATCAAAACCTCACAAAAAGGCTTGTCTCTCTAATGAAGGCAAAAACATAAGACTATAAAATGAAGGCAGAATTTATTAACTTGTCATGCTTTATGCATAAAAGAGAAGCATTTTGGATGGGATAATCACCTGGTGGGGGGTGAGCTCCACTCCTGTGGTCTCATCAACTAACTGGAACGCCATGGCAAAGTTTTGATGGCTGTCTGCCATAAAAGGTGCTTTGGCTTTAGTTGGATATTCTACTCTGAAAGACAGAGATCAAACATATGCTGGCTCAATTATATAATAAAATGAAAATTCATCAAATAGAGCTTGATAAAAGCTAATCTTACCTGGTAGTTTTGGGGCCAGTGCTCTGGTCCTTGTCCACGACAGACAAATCCATGTTGTTGATGGCAACTCGAGTAGAGACCTTTACCTTGAGCTGAGAAAGTAAATCGAACAAGTTTCAATCTAAGGCTTTAAAATCACACAATACAATAAGAATTATTTCAATCCATTAAAATGGACACTCGTAAGTGTGAATATGCTGGAAGAAAGAAAAAACTACAGCAATTACAGTAATTGTGCCTTTTTTTTACTTTGTTCAGTGAAAGAGGCCAATGACTTCTCCACAGCAAATGTGACATGCTCTTGACCTTATAATTGTACACTGAACAGTCAGAGCAATTATTCTTTACATAGCTACAATGTGAATGAACACACTTCAGACCAATTAAACGTGAATGTTGAGTGAATGAGGAAATGAATCACGGTTCATCGCAACAATTAACGAGTTAAACGCTGAGGTCAACACATTGAGGTCACGACAAGGCACGACACACAAGATACAGAACAGATACAAACAACTAAACTTTTGATTTTCCTAGCACATTTCAAAGATTCAGTTAAGTACCTCAACATGGTTGGCAACAAATCGGCTGTCACCAGCAATGGCAACAGAGAACTGATAGTAGCCACTCGCTGGTTGGCTGGCCATGAAATTCAGCTCAAAAACCTCACTGTGAAACAAAGGACAGTCTTTAAAACATAGGAAATATTTCCAAATTAAATGATCAATGTTGTCAGGCATATTATGTTACTTATCCAGAGTTTGGAACTCTTTTACGGAGTAAAATATTAAATAATAAAATATTAAAGCACTGTGCACACTACATAAAGGGATAGTTTTTCACACTTGTCATGTTTGGTTCGATTAAAACAAACCCTGGTGCGATTGCTCTGTTAGTGCGGTTCACTTGAGCATGTGTGAACGCTGCCATCCGAACCCTGGTGCGCACCAAACAAGCGGACCGATGGTGTATTCACACCTGTCTTGTTTGGTTCGATTGAATCGAACTCAAGTTCGTTTCCCCCCTTGGTGAGGATATTTTGGGCAGGTGTGAATACAGCAATCGCACTCGGGTGCGGACCAAACAACCGCACCGAGACCCAGCTGAAGAGGTGGTCTCGGTCTGGTTCCAAACGAACTCTGGTACGCTTGAGAATTTCTGTCTCGGTCCGGTTCCAAACAAACTCTGGTACGCTTGAGAATTTCTGTCTCGGTCCGGTTCCAAACGATCTCTGGTACGCTTGAGAATTTCTGTCCAATGAATGGATGACCTTTAGCACACGTTTGGTTTTGTTTACAATTTCTGGTTCACTTGTAAAAAGGGCAGTGTTAAAGCGAACCACACCAAACAAAAAAAAATCAACATTGTATTTGGTCCGGACCAAAGCAAGTCAAGTCAAGTCACCTTTATTTATATAGCGCTTTTAACAATACAGATTGTGTCAAAGCAACTGTACAGAATTAATTAGGAAAATATTGTGTCAATAATGCAAAATGATAATAGTAAACACTCAATTTTCAGTTAAAGGCAGTTCATCACTGAATTCAGTGATGTCAACATCCAGCTCAGTTCAGTTTAAAAAGTGTCTGTGCAATCAAGTCGACGATATCGCTGGATGCAAGTGAACTAGCGGACTTTCCTGGTGTGAATACACCCCGAGACCGCTGAAAAGATGGGTCTCGGTCAGCTTCCAAATGAACTCTGGTGCAGTTTAAATGATATATGAACGCAACACGGACCAAATACTTCTGAATGAACCAAAAACAGGAAGTAATGACAAGATGTGACGCTATGCGACATGATTTGACGACGCGGTGTAACCAAAACGAGCAGATGGTGGAGCAACGATGAGGTAAAGTGCCTTTTAATGCGCTCCTTGTGAGTTTGCAGGTGGTGAAAATAAAATTATATGTACACGCAAGAATGAGCACGTTTAGTCCAGCAGACGGCATTAGGTGTGTTCGCCTGAAAGCGGCACAGAGCGGACCGATCAGTTAATGGGTGCTTTGATATCATACACCCGCAGCGCTGCTTTAAGTCTAACGCACCTTTTGTTTGGGGTGTTCGGTGAGTTCAGTCATGATATATACGTCATTCAAGCCGACCAATCAGGTTGTGAACATATCACTATGCCGTTAGGTTCGATGTCTTTAGGTTTGCTGTCAAAAATGCCAATGTGAACGCTAAGCGGACCAGGACCAAATGTATCATTTTCCTTTTTGGTCCGGACCAAATGGACCAAACGAACCGAACTACAAGTGTGAACACACGTATGTATTATAGATAAACTCATAAACTCAAACGTACGTGATTGACACGCAAGAATAAAACTCATTGGTTCTTGCTGGTCAAGCATGCACGTTTGAACTGTCGTTTAACATATTTAAATGTGCTCTATCTATGTGTGATGATTAATGTTTATATATGAATAAAAGCCTAAATTAAATATGTTCATCATATAAAGCAGGGTTCCTCAAATCTTACCCTCGAGGGCCAATGCTCTGTAGAGTTTAGCTCCAACGAATGAAATGAATGAAAACTTATGGGTTTGGAAAGGCATGAGGATGAGTACATTTTTGGGCAAACTAACTCTTTAACTTTTTTTAATGAAGTATGTTTAGTAGCATGTTCGTTTTTTCTGCAGTTTCAAAATTTGTATGGCATTATCTATTATTTTAAAGTCGTCAACTGCAATGCACATACTCTCTGAGGGTGAATGGTGCCTGGCTTAGGATGGCAGATTTTGATGAACTAGTACTGGCTGACTCCACCAGCACACTTGCTGAACTGAGGGGCTGACAAAGGACATCCGTCACCTGAAGCTGCAGTAACAAACACAGACATTACAGCTGAGTAAACAAAAGAACAAAACAATGAAACAAACAAAATATTATATATATATATATATATATAGAGAGAGAGAGAGAGAGAGAGAGAACACACTCAAAACTGAGGCCTACCCGGAGGAAGGGCTGGCTGTGGGATATAGCAGCAGGGCCCTGGGCACTGACAATGACGGGCACATGGAAGCGATTGTTGGAAAGTGATTCAGCTGCACTAGCTACACTGAATGCCTCTGATAGAGAGTCCCAAGACTTCTTACTGAAGATGGAGTTCACTAGCTGGATTACCTGATCCTGTGATGGACAAGTAGAGGAGCCATTTATCTTGAGACAGCACTTCAAACACTTACAGAAAGTATTTGCTGTACATAGTTATAGCTTTATTTTGAGTGGGCTAAACTGTGAACCTCTTTCAGGGGGGGCTCCATGTCCACATGATCAGACAGGGCATACGCCGCAGAAACAAACAGTGCTGTGGTCTCCAGCCCCTCCTCAAACTGAAGATACACTCCACTCAGATCATCTAAACGGGCAGCGAGATCCTACAATGAAGAAAAATATACAAATCATACTAGAATTCCAAAAAATTATTATATAAAAAGCTGTTTTCTGGTACACAGCAAATGTGACCAATCAGAAAAGTTTGAAACACAGTGCAAAGTAGATTTGTCTTCAGTTGACTGTTAATAAAAACACTTATGTTACTTATTATAGGACCATTAAGATTTTTTTCTTCGTATTTTGCACATATAATTGTAGCAAATGAATAATGAAGCATATTATTTCTATTTTTTTTAACTGGTATGAAACATGACCATGGACATTTGTGAGATTTACCCATAAGCAGTTAGTAACAATCAATTAAAATGTACATTAATTTAAAAAATAACATTAATTGTTAGATTAATTCACTACCCTAAAATAGCCTACAGAAAGTCAAATTGTTATACTAACTGAATTACATTGTAAATAGCGGCGGTACTTGCTGGTGGAACGACCTGCCCGACTCAATTCGAACAGCTGAGCACTTAGCCATCTTCATGAAACTAAAACACATCTCTTCCATCCACAATTCACCCACTAACACTAGCACTCTCTATCCTATTTCTGGTTACACTTTAATTTAAGGTGCTCTTGTTACAGTGTAATTATACATATAAGTACTGAGTAATATTAATTAACTACATGTACTTACTATATGGTTAGGGTTAGGATTTGGTTTAGGGTTACTTGCATGTAATTATGCATAATTCATTGTTATTATAATTTTAAGTACAAAAAATAAAGTGTTACCCTATTTCTATTTTATCTACTTATTTTCTTTTCATTTATATAAAAAAAAAAACTTGACCCTCTAAAACCATTCCATTTAAAAAAAAAAAGACCCTCTAACACCTTTCTATTCTTTCAACTCTTTTTTTTATTAAAAAAATTGACCCTCCAACACTATTCTATCTACTTGTTTTCTTTTTATTATATATATATTTATACAGGTGCATCTCAATAAATTAGAATGTCGTGGAAAAGTTCATTTCAGTAATTTGCTGCTTTAATGTTTGTGAACCCTTTACAATTTTCTATATTTCTGCATAAATATTACCCAATTCATCAGATTTTCGCACAAGTCCTGTAAGTAGACAAAGAGAACCCAATCAAACAAATGAGACAAAAATATTTTCTTGAGAAATGTATTGAGAAAAATGACCCAGTGTAAGATTTCTGTGCGGTGCAAAAGTATGTGAATCTTTGCTTTCAGTATCTAGTGTGACCCAATTTTGCAGCAGTAACTGCAGGTAAAGTTTCTTGTAACTGCTGACCAGTCCTGCACAACGGCTTGTATTAGTTTTAGCTCATTCCTCAGTACAGAACCACTTCAACTCTGTGATGTTATGGGTTTCCTCCTATGAACTGCTTGCTTCAGCTCCTTCCACAACATTTCAATTGAATTAAGGTCCAGACTCTGACTCAGTCATTCCAAAACATTAACTTTGTCTTTCTTTAACCATCCTTTGATAAAATGACTTGTGTGCTTGGGGTCGTTGCCTTGCTGCATGGCCCAGTTTCTCTTGAGACTCAGTTCTCGGACAGATGTCCTAACATTTTCCTTTAGAATATGCTGGAATAATTCAGAATTCATTCTTCCATCAATGATAGTAAGTCGTCCTGGCCCAGATGCAGCAAAACGGGCCCAAACCACGATACTACCACCACCATGTTTCGCAGATGGGATGAGGTTCTTATGTTGGAATGCAGTGTGTTCTTTTCTCCAAACAGTTCACTTCTCATATAAACCAAAAAATTATATTTTGGTCTCATCGGTCCACAAAACATTTCTCCAATACTTCTCTGGCTTGTCCACATGATCTTTAGCAAGCTGCAGACGGGCAGTGATTTTCTTTTTGGAGATCAGTGGCTTTCTCCTTGCAACTCTGCCATGCACACCATGGTTGTTCAGTGTTCTCCTGATGGTGGATTCATGAACATTAACATTAGCCAATGTGAGAAAGGCCTTTAGTTGCTTAGAAGTTACCCTGGGTTCCTTTGCAACCTCGCAGACTATTACAGGTCTTGCTTTTGGAGTGATCTTTGTTGGTCGACTGCTTCTGGGGAGGGTAAAAGTGGTCTTGAATCTCCTCCATTTCTACACAATCTGTCTGACCGTGGATTTGTGGAGTCCAAACTCTTTAGAGATGGTTTTGTAACCTTTATCCAGCCTGATGAGCAACAACTCCTCTTTTTCTGAGGTCCTCAGAGATCTCCTTTGTTCGTGCCATGATTCACTTCCGCAAACGTGATCAGACTTTCATAGATCCCTGTTCTCTAAATAAAACAGGGCAGGCAATGACACCCGATAGTCATTCCACTGTTTGAAAACATCTCTGAACAGATGGACTCTAATTTCACCCTCAAATTAACAGCTAATCTTAGAGATGCATATACTTTTGCACCGCACAGAAATGTAACACTGGGTCATTTTTCTCAATAAATAAATGACAAAGAAAACATTTTTGTCTCATTTGGTTGACTGGGTTCTCTTTGTCTACTTTCAGGACTTGTGCGAAAATCTGATGATGAATTGGGTCATATTTATGCAGAAATATAGAAAATTGTAAAGGTTCAAACTTTCAAGCAGCACTGTATATACATACAGTGGGGCAAAAAAGTATTTAGTCAGCCACCAATTGTGCAAGTTCTCCCACTTAAAAAGATGAGAGAGGCCTGTAATTTTCATCATAGGTATACCTCAACTATGAGAGACAAAATGAGAAAAAAAATTCCAGAAAATCACATTGTAGGATTTTTAAAGAATTAATTGGTAAATTCCTCGGTAAAATAAGTATTTGGTCACCTACAAACAAGCAAGATTTCTGGCTCTCACAGACCTGTAACCTGTAACCTGTCTTTAAGAGGCTCCTCTGTCCTCCACTCTTTACCTGTATTAATGGTTTTTAAGTGGGAGAACTTGCACAATTGGTGGCTGACTAAATACTTTTTTTCCCCACTGTATATATAAAAACCTTGCTACGTGTACTACGTTAGACCAAACGAGACTTGTCACAGCTCTTACATATTATTGCTCTTTTGTTTTGATTGCTTCTATTGCCCTTATTCGTAAGTCACTTTGGATAAAAGCATCTGCTAAATGACTAAATGTAAATATAATTCAAATATATTTGAGTACTCAAACGTGACATTGATAATTGATCATGTAAACAATGATCATTTCGCCTGATAGGTTAGTGATGGGACAGCATACCATCAAGACCTGAGTAACAAAGTGAAAGTAAGGCTCTGAAAGTGTACAGTGAAGCAAGGAATCACTTGAAAATAAAAATTATAAATGAAAACAGTGTTGTAATATAATCTATGTTGCAAAATCTTTGTGCACCTGTATTTTAGCATGTGAGATTTTGTGCAAATTTAAGTTGTAATTTTAGGTTTATGTTGTATATATCTGATTAATCCTATGCAGGACACATTTGGTTAAGTTAAATAATCAGCTGTGCTACTAAAGCACTTAATTTACTGGTGTTCATTCTAGGGGTCGACCAATTATCGGCCTGGCCGATTATCTGCACCGAAATTAAGCATTTTTATGATTATCGGTCATTTTCAAAACCGATTCGCCAATAAAATAACTTACTTTTGAAACGCGCTATTTGGCTCTGATGCAGCCTGTCAGAACTCACCACTCTGTGGCCTAAAGCAATCTCCGCCCATCTGATTTGTTGGGAGTCACGAGTCCGACCAATCAATGCGGAATTCACTCTCACTCTGAAAGTGCTTGCTAACTGGAGCTGCTTCAGTGATCACGCATCAGTTCTCTCTCAAAGGTGAGGCAGCAGCAGACGTTGCTTAAGCTGCAATAAATCACAATCCTCTAACGTTACACTGAAGTTGCAAAACACCTCAATATTACTCTGATCTCCGCGATGCGGAAAAAACTGACGGAATCGCAGAACCCAGTCATATAAATGTAATTTACTGTATATGATGCAGAATGTCACGGAATTTATTTAATCAAATTTGAATTAATCAAAAGTAGGTCAGTACACTTAAATAGAGTCGCAATATGGACTAGTATCTGTAAATATTAAGCCGCAAAAATACTATTTAAATATGAATCCAGCATGGAACATCTCCAGAACTGCTCTGACTCCCTCTGAGAGTCACTTCATGAGCATTTGACAGTTTCATTGGAGTAAAACTATCTTCATATCATTTACATAGACTACAGAAACAAGTTCCTCATGGCAACCCATCAAAATATATGTTCAGGTTAGCGTAAAGAAATTATCAGAAATATATTACTGTGATGCAGTATGATATACATAATACTACTCAGGGATTACATTTTTCCGTCGCTATGACGGATTTCCGTTAATTGGAAAAAATGAGGGGAAAAGAAACATGTAGCGCATTGTTGTTGTTCTGCCGGCACACCAAAAATTATCCCTGCCACGGCTGCAGCTTCTCACTGACAACATAATGCTGCTCGCATCATTCAGTCGGGTTATTAGCAGAGAACACAGAGCAGAACTTGAATTTCGGCGCGGGATTGCGGCTATTAATAATGCTACTCATTCCTGCAGGTTCCGCGCTTATAACGCGATGACAGATGACGAAACTTATCATTTGCACGTGCTTTTGAGTCTTGAGAACTCACTCGCACGCTCTCATTTTCTGTGCGCCCACAGATCGCGATAAGGAGAGTGACAGCTTTTAATAATTATTAAAGGAGTTTGCAAATGTGATATTGATTTAATACAACAGTTCAATAAACAAGTACTGCCTGATTTTGCTCTATTTCATCAACGAAAATAGTTCCAAATAAAGTAACAGCTCAGCTGTTTCATTCATGAATGAAAGTGCGTTTTTGAACGTCAGTGATTCATGATTACCCATTCATAAAGAAAGTCACTTGCTTCATTCCTGAATGAATCAGCCGTTCAAACGAATCAATTGAATGAATGATTCAGTGATAAAATCAGTGACTTGCCGCCACCTGCTGGCGGTTTCAGTTTCATTTTTAGGTATAATTTCAGTTATTTAAATCATTTAATATTTCTGTATTCAAAATTTTATATTTAAAACATTAATCTCCACATGAATTTATGAATTTAATTGCACTCATGCCAGCTATGAGCATCATTGAACGTCTGAAAATGTACCTACAAGCCACTTTTGTGTTCTTCTGTGCACCCTCTGTAGTACAAACACATTTTTCATTAATACTAATTTCATATGATTGGTAACTTATTTGTCTTATTCTACATCTTATTATATTGTTTTAAATAGAAATTTTAAAAAGCTTAAATTTTTTTAATTTGACAGATGAAAATGATGCCATTACAAAGGTAAAAAGAAAATACCCCTGTAAATCAATTTTTTTTTGCTCTAACCCGACTACTACAACAATTATTACAACTTTTGTTTAAAAGAATAATCACACAATACGTTATTTCTTCCATGTTTTAATTTTAATGGTAAACCCTTTGTTTGCCAAAAAATAAAGAGTTTAACTCTTTAAAATAAAGAGTTTACTGTGGGAGTACTACAATCAACCAACACCAGGGAAGGCAGTTTTTGTCAGAGCCCTTGTTATGCTTAATTTTGACATTCATTTTCACACCAGACATATATATTGGTTAAAAATATTGGTTATCGGTCTACTTGATCTGTAATAATCAGCATTGGTATCGGTCTTGAAAAACACATATCGGTCGACCCCTAGTTCATTCACTCGTCAGCCTCAGCACAGCTCAAACAGCAACATCATATTCTATTTAGATGTTTCTTTTTAAAATATTGATGATATTATTAATGACCTAGCTGTGTTTTTTTCTCATCATTTTCTTCAACAGTATGTTTCAATTTAAAATTATTTCTTGTTATGGCGTCAAAAAAATGCAGGGACGAATCACATGATAATGAAGAAAATGCAGTTGTGCAATTAAGTGCAAGATGTGCAACACCAAGCTGTCCCAGGATATGTACGTTACATTATAATTAGCAAACTATTTTAATAGAATATTGTGCTTTTTTTTGTGCTTTTGCACCATGTCTTTTCAGTGTGATCCTACAGGAATAGAGCATTCACAATGGGAGTTACACGTTCTGACTAGCACGTAACTTGTGCATTCACAATTTTGTGAAGATCGAGTATATAAATTATCAATTTCTAAAAGAAATGTGCATTTAAATAGAAAATAAAATATTTTATATAAAATCTACTTTTATGACCATATAGCAACGTTTCCCTAAGTTTTTTAATTTCAGTAGTCTGGTCTAGGCTTACAGTTGACTGTTTTGTGGCTAATAAATCTGAAGTGACGTACTAAACTCTCACCTCAATCTCCTCCAGGATATCTCCAAGTTCAGCTTGTTGAGAGAGACGAGACGCAGTCTGCAGTGCCAAAATGATTCTGACAGGAGAAGAGAAAATCAGAGTTAGGTCTCAAAATCAAACTAAATAAAAAGATACCACAAAGCAAGCCTCAAGTCAAAACAACGTAAGGAAATGTACTTACGTCAAAACATTATCCTCTTTGGAGATGCGAGCTTTCAGAGCACTGACCACTTCCTGTGAGGCCAGAGGCAACCCAAGGGAGCTGAGAGCACTCACAGACTGATGGATCTGAGAGGCAGTGGAGTCCTCACTGACAGTGGCCAAAAGCAAATCACGAGTGTCATTTGACACAGGAATCTGTCAGGATCAAAATACAGCAACAATTTGTGGATTTGCTAGTGAAAATGACTGTGTGCAATGTGACGCATTATTTCGAAGTGACTTTTTGGCAGCCCAGCGAAACATCAGCTTGGCCAAGGAGACTAGCTTAAACTAGCCAAGTCCACCAAACCATGTTTAAACAGGTTTTTTCAGGAGGTTGAGCAAAGAAAGGTCTTTTAACTTAAAGGGTTAGTTCACCCTAAAATGAAAGATCTGTTACCATTTACTCAACTTCATGTCGTTCCAAACCCTCAAGACTTTCATTCAATTTCAGAATAGCAATGAAGATATTTTTTATATTTTCTTATCCTTTTTGTTCATCCACTGAAAGCCCAAACAACCAAAACTTCCATGTAGTAAAAAGTACATTATAAAACGGATAGTTCCGGTCCTTGATTCTGATTGGTTGAGCCGCGTTCGAAACTGTTGTAAATTACTCTACAAACATACACCTGTGTTTACTTCTGTGTTGCTCGGCAACTACTTTGTTGGAACCATAGACATAATAAATACCTAGACGCCTCATTGGCCACTCGACCGCACGTCAACGCCACTGCCATATTGGTGCAGGCAACTCTCCATAACTCTCATATTGGGACAGGCGAAAACATACCTGACTCGGTATTAGCTTGGGCATCTACAAACCGTTGCACAATAATAAAAACAGATGTCGGGGTATTATCTTTCACAGGTAAGACTGAACAGTTGTTTCTGTGTGTTTTTTGGTCATTTTTAGCATTATGTTGACAGCTTAATTAGCCACCAGTGTCAGACTATTAATAGTTAGATGTCCGCTAGTAAGCTGTGAAAGCTGAGACAATACGAAATCAAAGTTGAAATGAATTCTTTTTAAGTTTTAACTTTATATTGTAGTTTATATCGTGTTATGAGCACAATACAGTGAGCACTTTGACAAGACAATGCCAGACTGTCAGGATTAGGGATGGAGCTAAAGCATCTCTCTTTAATTTCACTAACGTTACTTATTTACAAAGAGTAAGTTTATCATCACTTGATTATAAGGATTTCATAGCTTATCATAAAACTGTGGACTTAAATATATTTTTTTCCTTTTTAGCCAGTTGCAAACAGGACAACGCAAGCCTTAAAGGGGTCATATGACGATGCTAAAAATAACATTATGTTGTGTATTTGGTGTAATGCAATGCGTTTATGCGGTTTAAGGTTAAAAAAACACATTATTTTCCACATAATGTACATTATTGTTGCTCCTCTATGCCCCGCCTTTCTGAAACCCGTCGATTTTTACAAAGCTCATCGTTCTGAAAAGCGAGGTGTACGCTGATTGGCCAGCTATCCAGTGAGTTGTGATTGGCAGAATACCTCAAGCGTGTTACGGAAATGTTACGCTCCTTACCATACTGTGATGCTGTGTCTCCCGGCACGACGAGACAAAACCAATAAAAGCCCATTACAAACGAGGCATTTGTTGCATCCAGTGGGGACATAATTATTGATTATAATGACTTATACTGTCCTTGCAAAGTTGGAACTGCCCCACTTTATAGAAACAGCCTTTGAGCACAGACCCATTGTAGGCTACTCTGCAGGTTCAGGAAACAGTCCTCCATAAAATGCGTCACACAGTGCGGGCTTGAGAACGGCGCGCCCGGCAGATTCGACGAAGGAGCGGTCTTCCTCTTTTGGAAGACCAAACAAAGTAGTTTCGCTTTCACAATGAAACACACAGCGTCTCCACAACATGGCAGCGGCGGCGGCAACAACAATACTACAGCGAGAATAATCTTTCTTTGCGTGAATATTTGGGCGGC